TTTAACAATCCAGCAACTCTTTCTTTTTGAAATGAAAATATGTTATTAGCACTTTTGAAGTTTTAAAGAGAGTACAACATATTTTTTTCATTACAATAAAAAACTATGCGTATACAATAGGTTAAATAGCATCTAAAATGACTTAAAAGACATAATCCATTATAGTTTATATTCTCAGTATCTACACTGAGTATTTTTATCCTGATAATAGTTCTTTGTGCTTCATAACCAGATATTAACACTATGCTAACACTAAGGTTTGTTGAACTAACTGTATAATATTTTAGATATTATAAACATGAACTACATTCATCATGATAATCTTGTACAATGTTTTATTCTAGATTAATGACTCGGCTTCGAATTACAATAGAAAAGCTAATTTACACAAAGGAAAATGAGTTTGGCTCAAAAGGACTTGCAACCTTAATATTAAGAAATGCTTACTTACCTAAATAAATTAATATTCTTAAATTAGAAATAAATATATTTTCTGGATTAAACTATTCTAATCCAGGATCATGATATACTCTCTAATATGGCAATTTTTTAGAATCTGTGAAGAACCTGCTATGAATGGAACATGGTGAAACTCCAAATAATTACAGAATCACAGAGCTGGAAGGGACCTTAGAGGTCTTCTAGTCCACCTCCCTTCTTAAGCAGGAGACCCTATACCATTTTGGACAAATGGCTTCCAATCTCTTCTTGAAAACCTACAGATTTATATTTTGTTTATGGCTAAAATAACTGCCTGATAGTTTGTGAACTATTTACTAATTGGCTCTCCTCTCTCAAGTCTGAGGAAATATCCTAGAAAGCCCCATAAAAATGGGATTTCCTGAAATTGTGTCTACTTCACAGCTATCAGAACATATTGGTACAGCACAATTTTATCAATCATCCATAACTTTATTCAAATCAATGTAAGACAGAAATCTCTATTTACACATATCGTATCATAAAACAATTCAATGTCACTTTTAAGCAAAAGAATGATCCTCAAATTCCTCTGAGGGGCTATCCTCCGAACAGACAAGCCCAACTCAGATCTGGGAACAGCTTTATGGCAAGAACAAACATTCTTCAGGGTACACAAGAACAAAATAAATTGAAAAGGAGGAAGGACGAGACCTCAAGCAAGGAAAAACATTAAAGGAGGATATGGCTGAAGGATCTAATCTTCCTTGTTCTACTTGGAGGACCCTGAATAGGTTAAGAGCTGAAGTGCCTAAGTGTAAAAGCAATATGCTCAAGTGGAAGCTTTTTGCAGATAACAGCATGCTGTATGAAAGTGGAGAGACACACAGCCCAGCCCATTTGCAGGCATGTCAGGTGCTACTAGAAACATCTATTGATAACATGTATTGATAATGACTTGGCAAGCCAAGAAGGTAACTTCATTTGAACTTAAAATTTGATCTAGACAAGGAAGAAGAAGAAAAAAAAGTCACTTTCAACTGGGCAAATTAAGGCAGATCAAAGAATAACACCTACTATATTAACCCACCGGATTTGCACTTATTTTATGTTGTCATATTCCATCACTGTATTTCTAGGTATGCTTATGAGAAATAGAAATTGAATTGCTACTTTCTTGGAAATATAGTAATTTCTATGTTTTAAAAATCTATACAGATTCTACAGGTGAAAAGGATAGGTGAAGAAGGGGAATTGCTTTTTGATACAACAAAGTACATTCTCTTCTGTTTTTTGTAAGTTCTATGGAAGAGATGGAATAAAACTGAGATTGAAATTAGAGATTTTTCTCTGTCAACCTTATATCTTCCTACAGTATGAAGAGAAGCAAAGGAATACATATCCAATTATCTTTCCTCTCTTCAAAATATGTCTGTGAAGAATGTGGAGAGATGCTCTATCTTCTTCATGTTTCCAGAGGCCATAAAACTTTGGATGATGACAATAAGTCTCTACTCATAAAACAGCAAGGTTTTCTAATCACTTCTTGTTAACTCATAACTAATATGAACTAATGTAAACTTCATATATATATATATATATATATATATATATATATATATATATATATATATTATAGGTCTTTGGTTATTCGGATTTTCTCCCGCGTAAAATTGGAAGTGTCTTGGCGACGTTTCGACGAAGTCCCATTCGTCATCTTCAGGCTGGTGTTTTCAGCTTCGTGCTTCAAGGAGCAATGTGTGATCTTAGCTGTTTCTTCCTTTTAACTGCCAGTGGAGGTATGAACTGATTGGGTGGGAGCTTGGCTGTGTTCTGATTGGGTGGAGGTGTGTTCTGATTGGTTAGGGATTTGGCTGTGCTCTGATTGGATGGGGGGTTGGCTGTGCTCTGATTGGATGGGGGAGTGTTCTGTTTGGGTGGGGGCTTTGTTGTGCTCAGGTTAGTCTGAGTTGCAGGGGGATTTAAGATGGTGGGCTGCCTTGCTCTTGTTTGGCTTCGCGTTCGTGGTCGTGCCTCATCTTCATGGTGGGTGTCAGTTTGCTTCATGTATGGATTGGAGGGGTTTAAAGTGGCTAATGATGCAGCTGTGGTCTGGTTTCTGGTTTGTGGTCATGCCTCATCAGCTTTGGGTTTGCTTTTTGCGTGGATGTGTGGTGGTGACATCCTGTGTGGTTTTAGTGAATGTGGGTCTGGTGTCATTCTTTGTGTTGGGGAGTCATTTGTCAATAAGGGTGGGTTTCCAAATGGCTGGTAGGTGGGAGGTATCATCTCATTTGTTCATGCTGTGTGGGCATTTTTCTATCTTGATGGCTTCTCTGGTTATTCTGTTATTAAAATGTTCAGTTTTGGCAATAGTTCTGGTATTTTTAAAGTCAATTTCATGTCCTGTGGCTTTAAGGTGTTGGACCAGGGAAGATGTTGGTTCCTCTTTTTTGACTGAGTTCTTATGTTCTTCAATGCGTGCACTTATTCTTCTGTATAGCTGCATCATTAGCCACTTTAAACCCCTCCAATCCATACATGACACCTCAAGATGAGGCACGACCACGAACGCGAAGCCAAAAAAAAAGCAAGGCAGCCCACCATCTTAAATCCCCCTGCAACTCAGACTAATCTGAGCACAACAAAGCCCCCACCCAAACAGAACACACCCCCATCCAATAAGAGAACAGCCAACCCCCCATCCAATCAGAGCACAGCCAACCCCCCATCCAATCAGAGCACAGCCAAACCCCTAACCAATCAAAACACACCTCCACCCAATCAGAATACAGCGAAGCTCCCACCCAATCAGTTCATACCTCCACTGGCAGTTAAAAGGAAGAAACAGCTAAGACCACACATTGCTCCTCAAAGCACGAAGCTGAAAACACCAGCCTGAAGATGACGAATGGGACTTCGTCGAAACGTCACCAAGACCCTTCCAATTTTACATGGGAGAAAACCCGAATAACCAAAGACCTACATGCAAACACCCGCGAAAACCTCAGAAAACATATACCGTATATATTTGTTCAGTGTGTACACCAAAAGTATTTTTAAAACTCTGAATTCTTCATTGATTGCAAATTAACACAAAAATAGAAGGGTATAAAGTAGTGAAGGATTATTGTAAGATATATTGCTAAAATTCCTACCATTATGTATCTACATCTAAGTAAAAAGAGAAGTATCTTGGTTAGCAAGAAAGCATAATTATTGTTTATTTTGGTTTAAACAGTTAAGAAGAAAAGAATTTTCCATGGATCATGAAGTTAAAAACATACAAAAGAACTAAAGACTATTTTTAAATCTACGAGAGGAACTAAGTGGAGAGTTGGTTCTTTGTTGTTTACACTCACCACAACCAGAAAGACATCCTGATAGAAATCTCAACAGACAACAGTCCTCCTAAAGCCACCAGGAAGAAAATAACCCACATTTAGAGGAAACTCAAGGTAGATAATAGCTTCTCCCAGGGAATACATTTTGAAAAAAAACCCTTTCCTAAAAATTGCTAGTAAATTATTGATTTAATTTAAGTTAGCAGCTTTTTACTGAATTACTAAGTAATGTAGATTTATCTTCCTATGTGTTACTCTCCATCTAATACTAACTTTCCTGTTTTTAATTTCTGATTTCCATAGAGAGCAACAAAGTGAGTGCAATGGGCTGGTGTACATTTTATTTTCTATCAAATATATTTCTTCTTTAAAAAGAAAGTCTCTCATAGTATAAAATGAGGCTGCACTTACTGTAACACAGATTAACATGGTCTGCAGAAATAAATCATGTTTTGACCTTACAAACATTCATTCCTTCATGGCATTTTAAGAGTGTGCCTTTTCAAAATGTCTGTTTTTAGTGCTATCTATACTTTCTCTGCAATGACTAAGAGCCCTGTACAGAAACAGAGAAATCAAGGATTTGAATATATATTGAGATGTGATAATGCAGTTTACTAAAAAGTTTGTTATAATTTTTAATCCACACATTTGTGTTTATTTTTACCCATTCACAGATAATGCTGGTGCAGTGTTTTTCCCTTATGTTTTGTAAAACAATTATATAATAAATCAATGGAACATAAAACCTTAAGCTAACAGAAAGGCAGCATCATTAAAAAAATGTTTTCTTAGCCTATGTAGTTTAGGTTTCAATGACCATATACAATAAAAATGTAAACCATTTAAAATTTATTGAAGACATAATATTTTTGAGAGTCTAAAAATGTAGGTCACAATCGAAAAATGGAGAATGTGTTATTTGAAAAATCAAAATAGATTGGAGGAACACACTGTTTAGAACTGTAATATAATACTCTGAATTTATGCAAGCCTTAATTACACAGTAATACACATATGTATATAGACCTGTTACAGTAACTCCCAGAAAAATGAAAGCAAAACGAGTAAACAACCTGTTTGCCTGTACTGAACTAATATTCTAACTGAGGATGATGGAATTAAAGTTCAATATACCTGGAGGATTGGGAAAGGTTGATTTAAGGCTATAGTTTGCATTTGCATTATTATTGCTATTGTCATTGTTCTCCTGGAGAATATTTTTGTCCAACATACCTGAGTTTGGATTCTATTAAGCCCTCTGAACCAGAGGATTTGCCCGCGGCGAAGTTCCCTCTCTGCATGATCAATCTCTTCTACATCTTCACTCATCTCCTCTTCGGGTACTTCTTCTTTTAATGTAAGCCCCCCTGCTTCCTTTAGAAATTTTAACCTACTGGCTGGGATGCTTGCAATGACCTAAAAAAACATTTTAATTATGCCAAGAGACAAAGTTTGCAGGGAGAATATGAAAATATACAGCATACAAAGAGTACAAATGATACCTGGGGGGGGGGGAATTATACACAGGGACTGATCAGACAAATATTAGCCCAAAAGCTTTAAAGCAGACTTTCCCATTTTAATCCCCTTCAATGAATTAGGAATAGAGGACAATGGATCAGGGTAAAGCTATATTTGAATTAAAAGACTGAGAACCAATAATCCCTTTGGGATAAATGCTTGCAGATGCCCAGTGAAAAAAGGCAGTGGCCATCATTACTAACTTCCACAAAGGTACAGGGGGACTGTCGTTCTCTCTCTTTTTTAAAAAAGAAAAAAGAAATGCTAAATTAAAGAAGAAATCAGGGTCAATGCCAAACAGAGTTGGGTAAGACGTACCTATTGGTACTCATTCTACCCACCTTTCATACTCTCCCTTGTAGACATTGGAGGGTAAAAAGTAAAAGTGAGAAAAAGAGACATGGAATTCTAAGAAAAGCCATTTTGTTGATCACATGGTTGACTTGGAGAATTACCATCTAGGAATCCTTCATTTACTGAATGAACCATGGGTATCTGTGTAATCTAGGAATCCCATCCATGATCTGAGCAATACTTCAAATTTAGTCTCAAAAAAAAAAAAAAAAAGGATGTGGAAGCATAAATATAGCACTGCTTTAAAGTAGTTGCGTCTTTCCTGAGATTCTGAAATGCAGGAAAGAGTGTGTTGGCTTTAAGGTGTCATAGACAATGCTACAGTTGTGTTCCTGTATTCCCTAAAGCACTAGTTTGGGAAACTAAAATACTTAATTCAGCTCTTCTTGCTGGTCCCAAAGATTCTTGTTGCCAGATCTCCCCAAAGTCTCATTAGAGTCTTTACAGAAAGACATGGCAGAATGTTGAACCTCATGCTAATGCAAATAGAACATATTTCTTTCAAGTATTAAAACAGTCACATGTGGCAGCCCAGCAAAATCTTGTCTCCCATGCAGATGTGCTCAGAACTAGAGATGAATTTCAAAATAGAAATATGAGCCTTGCAGCTCCTTCAATCATTAACAGAGAAGTGCTTCTCAACATATGCTAGACAATTTATTTGAAATACTTTGCACAGCCTTGATTACTGCTGTAAAATTACCTAGAATGTAAGTAACTGTCCTGAAAAAAACTTCTTATTCCAAGAATATATATATTTAATATAGAAATATATAATTGATTTTCTAATGAATACAAAGAAAATGGTCCTTACCTGCCCCCATACAAGTTCACCTAATCCAATAAATACACACCACATCCACTGGTCAAGTTCCAAAGGAGAACAACTGAAAGGTTTTCCACCAAATTGTACAATTACTATCTACAAAAGGAAAGAATAAAATGAAATATGTATTGACTATCAGAGTCCCAAATCCTGTTCTTGTATTTTCTTCCAAAAAATAAAATTCCTATTTTTATTTTCTGCTTCCTTAAAGAAAATAATACCAGCATGCTTTTAGACCAATAAAAAAGAATAAATGCATTATTGATAAGCTACAGCCTATACTGCATACAGAATTACTCTGCCTGAAACAGATTCTCAAAATCAACAAGAAACAAAGGACAATGAAGGAGACAGACCCTACAACAAACCCAGATTTCTAATTTGCCCCCAATCTACAACAACAGCACCAACACAAATCCCAACAAATACACACATGATTTGAGATGGCTTCACATATTCTTCCTCTAATTCAGTGTTTCTCAACCTTGACAATTTTAAGGCATGTGGACTTCAACTCCCAGAATTCCACAGCCAGCAATGCTGGCTGTGGAATTCTGGGAGTTGAAGTCCACATGCCTTAAAATTGTCAAGGTTGAGAAACACTGCTCTAATGTAATATATTTATATTTGCTCTCATGTTGTATGCCACCCAGTCACGTAATTTGAATTGGGTGGCCTTATATATCTGTATAATAAATAAATCAAGTAAATCAATCAATCAACACAACTCTCCTTCCACTATGAAAAGAAGACATACAGCAGGAATGCTGCAGGAATGCTCAAATGTATATAAAGAACTTTAATAATGACCAAATTTAGCAATTAACTTATACGTCTTTAGATTTTTTTAAAAAAAGACTATAATATAGGATGAAAGTGTAAAAGGGAGAAAGACTGTACAGTGAAGCATGCAAGCAATATCTGGCTCTCTTAGGATTGTCATATGATTACCTGTACAGCAAATGTACCCAATACAATAGTGCAAAATATAGGGTTTCTAAAGATGCCATCAAAAACATTCCTTTCACCGTGGATTTTGCGTGCATTGATTTCATTAAATAGCTGCATCATGACAAAAGTATTGAAGATGATGGTGTAGTGCTCAGAAGGTGGAGAGTGGAGTGGTGCATTTCTGCCACTATCGATCTTGAACATTTTCTCACCTGTGAAAGCAGAAAATAAACAGAATTTAAAAACATCATTTGAAGTTTCAATTCAGGATATAATTTGTTCCCAGCTCATCACAATGTTTTATTAGGTCATCTAGATCACCATTGCCCCCAAATTATGAAACAAACTATCTGTTCTCCAAGTATGTCATAGTCCACAATTTCCAAGGTGGAAGTTTTTAAAATACAATTTGTCTCAGACAAACAGGACAATTTATCTCTAATTACAGTATCCAATCTAGTCACTGAAAACCAAATGTTTGCTTAGGAATTTCAGCAGTGCAACTTAAGTTCCTTTTGGGGAAGTTTGGAATAGAGTAAAAATAGGAATGACACCAGGGCCTCCTAGATGTCTTCTATTCCCACTTCTACCCTTAACTTTCCCAAAGCAAACTAACAAACAACTCCCCACAAGTCTAGAAGAATCTTCTAGAAAAATCTAGAAGATTCTGCCTCTTCCAGTTATATTATTATATAATGGAAGCTCCTGCTGCCCTCTGGAAAAAAAGTGGCTGACCATCACTGATGGGTTACCTGTTCTTCCTTTACATATAATGGGAAATTTTCAGTGTATTATGTAACTACAGGCTTTATCCACTCATGAAACATAACACCATCTAATAATATTGAAACTGAATGAAAGTAAATTTGCATAACGCTAAAAATTAGCTGGCATCATACTATTTTTATGTAGTTAATCAGTGGGTATGTTTTATTGTATCAAAAATGATATTTTCAAATTTAATAGTCTTTCTAATTATGAAAGTAATTATGCTGTAAATCTGAATTTAATGTACCTGGATTTAACAGACATAAGATGCAATGCATGTATTTCTATACATGCATTAAATCTCACTTACCATTTTAAGTAAGGGTGAAATAATTAGAATTGCATTTACCATTTTAGGCATTTGAAAAACCACATTCAGATTTAAATTCTGTGCCTGGGCCACAATTTCCTTTCTCCCAATCCCCTACCTCATTTACTTGTTAAAGCAAGGGTTTATTGTATTTGAATCTGGTGAATTGATAAAATCAGGATGCTAAAAATACCACTGACAAAAGTTTCTCTAAAGAAAGTTGGATAGTGTTGTAAATCATATAACAATGTATTTTGTAATAAGATAAGTAATACTACATAGATCTTAATTAACTAGAAGACAAATTCATCTAGAATTGTGATTGAAAATTCTGTTATAACTTTTTGTTATTCCTTCCAAAATAATTTAGAATTGAAGTAGAAGAATTACATTCAGATCACAGTACTGAGATGGAAAAAATGAAATATAAATATATTTCTCCAGGATGCATCCAGGATGCATGTTTATTAAGTTTCAACAGAAACACGTGTAGAATTTATAGAAAAGGTTTCTATCAGGGTTGAACTGTGGAGTCCTTTGTGCTCTCTGAGCTTGGTGATTTTCTTGCAGATGTTTTGTTAGGAAATTAGATAACATTAACAGTGCTAAAAGGAAGTGGGGTTTGCTCAATCATTTAGAAACGATACCATAAAACAAGAAGTACCCGAAATGTCATTCTGCTCAATAAATCAGTAGAAATCCATTTAAAAAAGAAAAAAATTGGAAGCCTAGTCCAATAACAAGATGGGGCAAAAAAAAAAAAGAAAGAAAATAAATTGATAAGGAGAAAGAAGAGAAGAGAAGAGAAGCTTCAAAATATTTTAAATCAATCAAAACATTCAACTAGTTAAATGCTTTGCTAGATGAAAGGACTGTTAAACAGTGAAATTGCCAAGACACAAAATAAGCATTGTGTAAAATGGTGGGCAGATTTCAATACCATATCTGAATACATGGGAAAAGATTTGACTCAATTTGATAATACGTACTACCAGTTGTTTTTTTTACGAGGTCTTTCACTGAACAGCTAGTTCTTGACTTACAACAGTTTGTTTAGTGACCATTCAAAGTTACAATAGAGCTGAAAAATATGACTTATAATGGTTTTCACACATCCCCATGGTCACATGATCAAAATTTGGATGCATGGCAACTGGTTCATATTTATGATGGGGGCAGTGTTCCAGGGCCATGTGATCATCTTTGGCGACCTTCTAACAGGCAAAATCAACGGGGAAGCCAAATTCACTTAACAACTGTGTTACTAACTTAACCTGCAATGATTCACTTAACAACTGTGGCAAGGAAAGTGGTAAAATGGGGCAAAACCCACTTAACAAAGGTCTCACTTCACAACATAAATTTTGGGCTCAATTGTAGTCATAGGCTGAGGACTACCTGAACTACTAGTTGTTTTCTTTCACAAGCTCTTCATCTCTGTTGAGCCAATACATTAATTAATAAAACAAATAAGAAATAGAATTAAAAACTGCACTGAAACAATAAAATTTTATGCACTCATCAAATCACAGAGATGCTCAATGAAATGAAAAGAAGGACTGTGATGGCTTTAACTTCTTCAACTTCCAACATGGTTAATATAGCTGCTGAGAAGGAAAAAAAATCTGTTTTAGGCTTTTCTATTTTTTAAAAAAATAAGAGGCTCATTTTTTCTCATTTGTATTATCATTTTGCAATGGTTGGGTAAAGAACTATGAGTGTAAATGAAATTTATAGTTGCCTTTGGTATAGAAGGTTCCAAACCACACCCCGATTGTTTTTATAATTTTGTTTGCAACTGAGGTGATAACATTGCAGTTGGATGAGTCAACAGAAACATATATGTCAAATTTTCAAGACACAGACCAGGTCTGTCAGTAAAATGAGGTGGGGCGGGTAGCAGGAAATTATGATTCTCCATTTTAAACACATAAAGATAAGGCAGAAACATAAAGCATTAAATTCACTAGAATTCTAGACCTTGTTTCATCATCCCGTAACATGAAAGGTTAGAAGATCAGGTGTTAAGAATTAAGATAATTGTCAGATTCTTTCTTAAAACCCAGAAGAAACTGTGTTTGAGTTGACCTGTGACTTGATCACAAGGATGACATGGAACTGAGATCAGACTTGTTCATCACTGAAATATATCCTCCCCTGCCATGGCAACCAAGATTATGTTTCTTTTCTGTTTTCTGTCATTGCCACTGAGCTGCCCTTTGCAGTAAAGGTTAGGATTAGAGCTTTGGGAGAACCCAGGCCTATCTGCTCTGCCTAGCTTTCTAAAGCCAACTCTTCTCTGCATGTATTTTTAGCTGCTATTGTCCTATATTTTCTTGACTCTTCAGCTTACACATGCTACTGTATAAAATAAATACATGATTAGATTTAGCTTGGGTCCAGAATGTTTCCAAACAGAAAAAAATATTAACCCAATTTGTACAGTACTGTCAACATTTTGAACTTCTCCCACTATACTCAAGAATTCATTAATTAATAAACTCATTTTCAGACTGAAGAAGGAAGAAAATTCAATCACTACAATTTATTTAGCAGACAGGCATACTGCAGAATTTTAAAAGTATAAGGTGCACCAAGTTACCGTAGTTGGGTGATGATATGTGTTTAACATATAAATAAATACATCTGAAAATTCATTTCTTCTACTGCAGCTTTTAAATACCGGAAAAACCAAAGAGATCATTGTCGATTTCAGAAAAGGCAAGCACAGCCACATTTCTCTGTGCATTAATAATGCACCTGTGCATTAATGATTCACACATTTTTGATGTGTGCCGTTGTGTCCACAGTAAAAAAATGACAATAAAGGTTATCTTATCTTATCTTATCTTATCTTATCTTATCTTATCTTATCTTATAGTGTTGAACTGTGAAATCATGACAGTTAAGTCTGGGAAAACCATGTAAACAGGTAGTCCTCGACTTACAACTATTTGTTCAGGGACTGTTCGAAGTTGCAACAGCCCATGAAAAAAGTGAGTTACAACCAGTCCTTAGATTTATGACCATCGTAGCATTCTTGTGGTCATGTGATCAAAATTTGGGTACTTGGCAACTGGCATGTATTTTTGATGGTTGTAACATCCAGGGGTCAGGTGATCCCCATTCGCAAGCTTCCCAGCTTGTGGAAACCAGATTTGCTTAATGACCATGTGATTCTGGCTGCATCTCACCTATCCAAGCTTCATGAGCTGACAGTTGACATTGGCACTGGAGGGAGGGGGAGGGAAATTGGCTTAACAATTTCACTTAACAATTGCAGTGTCTCATTTAACAACCACTTTTTTAAAAAGTTCATAAACTGGGCCTAACACACTTAATAACTGCCCTGCCCCCCACATAAATTCTGGTCTCAATCGTGGTTGTAAGTCAAGGACTAGCTGTGTAGGCACTCTCAGATTATACTAGGATTCTGTTTGATTAATCTTTGTGTAAACCTATTTCCAATAGAGAGGCTTGTATGCCATAGTACTATAATACATAATACCAGTTGCCATTATTGTATATACAAAACATCATTTTATATATCTATGGAGATTCTCAGTCATCCAGGTCATGGTTGTCCCAAAGGTACTTTTCTGAAAGGCAACTGGACTTGGTTTTTCCTTGAAGATACTTCGCTTCTCATCCAAGAAATTTCTTCAGTTCTGACTGAATGGCGGAGGGTAGAAGGATTTATATACCAGATGACTGCAAGGAATATAAATCTTTTCATCCTCCACTATTCAGTCAGAACTAAAGAAGCTTCTTGGATAAGAAACGAAACATGTTCAAGAAAAAATATAGCCCAGTTATCATTTTAGGAATACATTAAACTGTATTTGCATCATTTGCATGAAGTTGAGCTTCAACAATCTGGGTCCTCATTTTATCAACCTCAGAAGGATTGAAGGCTGAGCCAACCATAAGGTAGTTAGGATCGAACTGCTAGCAGTCAGCAGAGTTAGCCTGCAATATTGAATTTCTAATCACTGCGCCACCACGGCTCTTCATAGCATAAGTGATCTCCACATCCAAGGTCAAGAAACAAGTGGCAGGAAGTCATTTACCCCATAAGACTGAGAAGGGGAAAATGCACATTTAAACCCTAAACTGTTGCATGGAAAAGACTGGATTGCTAGATTCTGCAGTACTTCATCTTCTTCATTACTAAGGTTTAATGTGTCTGCAACCAGCTCCTTATTTTTCTGGGTGCTCTCATTGATTCTTTCCCTGCTATCTTTAACTGCTAGCTGAGTTTCCAGAGAGCTATTTATTACTCTGTACCGGTGAAGTTCTGACAATATGTGAAAGGAAAAGAAGACCCTGATGCAATCAATGGAAGTTGTAGCTGATCTCCACTTCATGTAATAAAGCCCTATTGAAACTTCAACTTGTTTTAAAATGTTGGCGACCAAAGAGTGTATAAATCTCCGGATTTCCTGAAGTCATTATTTGAATTATGTACTCGGAACAAGTTCAATGTTATGTGAAATCCCACGTTGTGTATCATTTGCAGAGTCAGAAATCAAGTAGTTCATTGTCTGTAGCTTGAAAAAGTAACGATAAATGAAGTTTGAGCTTACCAACAAAAAGGAGGGTAAAAATTAGAATGAGTTGATACACAGCGTGGCCCAGAATATTTTTCATCATGGTACGAGAAATAAGGGCTTTGTTTCTACCATATGGTTTTCTTAGCAGAAGAGATTCTGTGGGAGGTTCCGTAGCCAGAGCAAGAGAAGCAAAAGTGTCCATAATCAAATTGACCCATAGCATCTGTACGGCTTTCAGAGGAGAATCCTGAAGACAAAAAAAAGAAGAAGAAGAAAAGAAGAAGAAGAAGCTAGAAAGCATTATACCAACATCGTCATTATGTATAGTCCTTTTAACATTTCTCTAGAGCTTGTCTTAGCATAATACACTTTGCCATTCTAATTTCTATGTGTCTTCACAATAAAAAGACTTAACTGAGAAAGCATTAATCTGATCTATCTTACTTAAAACCATCCTTTCATCATTCTACTTGAATCTCATTGTCCTTGAGAATGTGTGGATTTGATGATGGTGGATTTAACATGGTCAAACTTACCCATGAGAACATCACTAGGAAATAATAGGAAGCACAGAAATAGGACAGACAAGAGAAGCAGTCTTAGTTTAGAAAATACTGGAATACCAAAATAAGTAAGTAAATCCTATTGTTTAGAAAGTAGGTAATTTCAAATATTTTAGGTTTCAGCCAGAGTGGCTAGTTGTGTAGGATTGTGGAATATATCATCCAAAATATTAGAAAGCATCAGGTTAGAAAGCACCTACCCATTTCTGAAATACTCAAGGTTTTATGCTTTATTAGCTACGCAGTGTTTCCCAAACTTGACAATTTTAAGGCATGTGGACTTCAACTCCACAAATGTGGAATTCTGGGAGTTGAAGTCCACATGCCTTAAAATTGTCAAGTTTGGGAAACACTGAGCTACAGTGTTCATTTTCAATCCTGCATAAACAACCACTAGAAGGAGCTATCTGCTCATTAAAACTAGCAGGAACAACCTTGACATCTCTAAACAGAACATTTAATAAACAACCACAAACTAATTAATATCTCAAGAGAGAAAGTAAATTACTATTAAATGTGTTTTATTAAACTGTGGCTTCAGTAATGACCTCTTCTCAGCATCTTCCATTGCTACAAACTATAATGACTTATGGGATAGACGAATATGATAGACCAGTCAGAAATGAAATAGAATTTATTTTTTTATTAGCCGAAATAATTAAGCAGTTCAAATGGATTCAAATCAAAATTTATCATAACATGCATCTTAATTCTAAACAAAGTAAAACTCTCTTCATTCACTATAACTGAGTAATAAGCGACTTGAGCAAAATTCTACAAATCTGCTCAGAATTCACCACTCAGTTGAATTTGTTTAAATATTATAGAACTGTTACTTGAATTCTCACTTAACAATATTCCCATTTTTCACTATTGTTAAGTATACATGAAACATCCAAAACAACACACAGCCTATTATAGTTGTGTTAACCACCTTCTCAAGACATAGAATTAATCCTATTATGCTGGCATTTTTGCTGTAAAAATAATCCTGCTTTAAAGCATAGGATGCTTTTGTAGTTGTTCCAATGTGAATAACTACATCTCTGCATTTTTAAGAGGTAAGACTAGGCTGAGCATTGCAATGACAACTTGCTTTGCTTATCCAAAGTAAATTTACCATAAATAACCGGATTAACCCAAAACAAATCCACCAACTGGCATATCCACGTGTTATATATACAAGCAGTTTTCCATTCATTCAACAGTTTTTATAAATTTCTCTTTTCATCCAAATGTGATCTATAGGTTCACCAATCATCCCAAAAATATTGGGAAGCCATGTGAGGAAGGGAAAAATGGGAACTATCTCTCCTAATTACCTATTTCCTGTGATTTTATGCACCTTAATGTAAATAGGCACATATATAATATTCTTGCAGGTATTTTGGACTACTACTCTCAAAATGTACAACCCAGTAACTACAGAAGAAATCAAGTTGTTTCCTTGAGAAAAAAGCTAAGATTTATGAAAAAGATTACAATATGGACTGCACCAATCAAACATGCTCAGAAGTTAGAATATAATTTGTAGCACCTTTGCTGCTGTTTCTCTTCTGAAAACAGGAAGATAAATTTCACTGAGCAATGTGACCTTGTGTGTGATTGGTGAATATTTTGAATTGAAGTTATCAAGTTAGAATAGTTAAAAAACAGTTAAAAATTATTTCTGGAAGTATTCAATTTTAAATGCTGTTCTCAGCCCATGTGCAAGTGTCAGTAAAATCCAAAAGAACCACAGTATGTAATGAAAAGCAAATTTCTGACTTTGATCCATCCTCTGAATTGCACATGTGCAATTGTCAGCTGTTGCTTTGGATAGCACAGCATTCTCACTATTCCACAGTACCAATCACTGCATGTTGCTAAGGTGACTCTAGTAATTGTCTACTATTCTGCACAATTCAGTCAAACTGTTTTGTTTTCTGATGTGTTCATTCAATATATTTTAATCCTCCCAGCAATAACATCCTTCTACATACAAACTAAAGCCATGGAAAAATAGATGAAGTCCAAACTTCTTAAATCATTAAAATATACAATGACTGATAATTAAAATGTGGTTGGTTGGGTTTTGGCTTAGCATATTGTGCAAACCTAGCAGTAAACAAGACAGAAATCTATTCTGAGTAGTCAAAGAAGTACACTCTTTTCTCTAAAGTATTCCTGTCTTGATTTTTATTTGCTTATTTGTGTTGCATAGTGTAACCAAATATTACTTATTGTAAATGTTGACCTGGCTTTTCCCACCCCTGCATGTTTTTAATTGTAGTGCTTCCTCTGAGGTTTTGTTACTCAGAGGGACTAATACCCCTGAAGAAATCAATAGTTACAACCTTTGAACACCTTGAAAAATTTAGCAGAGTAACTTGGGAGGAGTTTCAATGTTGTAGCTTCCAAAAGAGACTGCCTCAGGTTTCACTTGGCCATATCATGATGACAAGATAAACTTATTCTTTACAGTACACCTAATGACTTATTCATAATTTGCTCCATGAGGCTTAATTTTCCTGTTGCACCAGAGTGAACAATATGTGCTATGTGAATAACTGCACTATGTTTTCAAAGGTATATTTTGTTACAAGCTTCTATAGACAATGCACTGTGTGTGTGTGTGTGTGTGTGTACACACACACACACACACACAGGGATACATACAAACACACACACCCTGAAAGAAAGAAAGAGAGAGAGAGAGAGAGAGAGAGAGAGAGAGAGAGAGAGAGAGACTCTTCTCTGCTCCACAACTTTTGAAAATCATGATACTATATTTCACATGTTTACAACTGGCATATGTTAAAAAAAAAAGTGTGTGCGTGTGTGTGTGTGTATCTGTCAGAAGAAAATATCGATTAAAACAAATTTTCTATAAAATACAGCATGGGAAGGGTGACAACATGAAGATGGAATGCAGAGAACTGCAATGGCAATAGAAAAGGAAAAGAAAGAGAAGACAGTCAGGGGGAGGATCAAACTGGATGAAGATGAGACAAGGGAAAGACATAACAAGTTAGGGGAAGAAGTCAAGGGAAAGAAAAAGTGAGAAAGAATGGACCTTGAGTTGATATTGGGTTGTATAGTCTGGATCCAATAATGGCACGTCTCTCTTTAGTTTACTCTCAGCCTTACCTGGGTAATGCAAGCACCAGTGAAAGCCACGATCACAGCCACCACATTTACGGTAAGCTGGAACTGCAGGAACTTAGAGATACTGTCATAAACATTACGGCCCCACATTACAGCTTTCACAATGCTACTGAAGTTATCATCTGTGAGGATAATATCAGAAGCTTCTTTTGCCACATCTGTTCCTGCAATACCCTGAAAAATGAAGAGACACCAACAGTAATTCACTAGAAGGAGTAATACAAAATTGGTTTGAATGAGCACCCGAATAGGGTCATAAAAAAGGAAGTTTTTTTCAGAAAACTTTATCTTTAAATATCTATTGATGAATAAAATAGTGGTCAAGATCCAAAAAGAGTGTGAAAATAATTTTTTGGACTAGCTCACTTCAACAGACTTTGCACAGCAGATGGCAAGCATACTGGAATCTGTTTGTGATCTGGCACATTGCTCAGAGCTGAAGTTTTAGCTGTTACCCAACTGCCCTTCCAGTGGACATATTTTCAAAATCATTTAGAAAATCCAAGTAATGCCAAAATATAATACGAACTAATATTATTAAAATATATTGCAGCATAACAGCAGATTGAAAGAATCATTGAGAAAACTTTTTCATCATTAAAAGAAACTTTGGGGGAATATTTAACCCAAATTCCAAAGCAATGCATTCACTCACAGTAATAGATCAAATTGAAACCAGAAATAAACTGAAATATACCATTGCAAAGCCAACATCAGCTTTTTTAAGAGCTGGTCCATCATTAGTTCCATCGCCAGTCACTGCTACAACCTGCCTCTGCTCCACTTGCGTGCTGTCAATGATACCTGCAAAATATGGCAATGCATTCTTAAGTAACCATTTAAATATGTCATGCATATATGTATGTTAGAAATCTACCCAACTCCAATCTGAGCAACATGCAACGTTAAGAGCAACAGAGATTTTTTAAAAATGAACAAAAAATGTATGCCTCAGAAGAAAACATGCAAGTACCATAAAACATCTTAAAAGGCTCTTACTACCATCCTAATCCAAGTCTTGGGGAATAAATCAAGCTTTCAAAGACTTTTCAAAAATAGTCAAGGTGCATCAGACAGATTTCTATGAAGATGATATTCCAGCAGACAGGCAAAATAGAGAAGGGCTTCTTTTAGGGTTTTGGCAGGTGACACCGTTTGATCATCAGTTTCATTGATTGGAGGGTGTCTACCCTATCAACTGTACTGAGCAAGCAGAAATAGCTGGTCCCCAGACTTTCAGAAATTTCTTGACAGTGAAAACAATTAACCAGTGGAACAACTTGCCTTCAGAAGTTGTGGGTGCTCACTGGAGGTTTTTAAAAACAGATTGGACAGCCATTTATCCAGAATGATATAGGGTCTCCTATTTGTGAAGAGGGTTGGACTAGAAAGACCTCCAAGGTCCCTTCCAACTCTATTATTCTGTTAAGTGCTTTATGGGTGGTAAGTCTTTCTCCTTTTTACACATCTCTCATATATAGTGCATATAAAAAAGGGTTTGATCACATGACATCTTGAGGATCACAAGAACATCTATCTAACCTATTACCTATAACTAAGGTATAGTACCCAGATTTATCTTATTACTTATGGATCAAGTCTTCCAATTTTATATTCACATTACTCAGAGTGTCCCAGGCATTGCTAAAATTTGATTAATTTTATTTGTGGGCAGGAAAATGTCCCCACAATCAATTGTCCTAGACTCCACCTAGAGATGAGGAATATTAAGAAAGCAGCCATAGCCAAGAAAATTAGCAGAGATGAAATTTGAAATGCATGCTACACACAGAATCTCCAATTTCAATTAAATTAGAAAGTTTTCTACCAATCCATCAACAAAAAAAATTATAATGAACTAATCAATAGCTGCAAAGAAAAATAAGTACAGTTCTGAGCACAGGTATGCGATAATAGAAAGACAATACAGTGCAGCTTGGATAAAGAAGATAAAAAAGAGGGGGAGTTGAAAGAACTTATAATAACAGCAGAAATGGTGGAGAAAAGAGTAAGGAAGATCAAGAATTGGTCAGCATCAGATGAAGATAACTGCATTGTTCTGGTTGAAACATCTGACTAGCCTACACTTACTTATTGCCAAACTGTCTAACAACAGTTTCTACCACAAAGAGTGAAACTGAGAATAGGTTAACATCTGAGAAACTAGCTGATAATAAAAGATCTAACAAAAGGTTAGCCCTAGGCAACTACAGGCCAATTATCTGCTTAGCAACAAATTTAAAAGTGCTAACTGGTCTGGTAGCTGATGCAGGCCCACTGCAGCTACTTGAAAATAAGCTCTTTCATCTGAGCAGAAAGAAAACTGCTTATACAGCTAAGGGACAAAAGATCAGCTCCTAATTGACAAAATTACTTTGGAAAATTGTAAGATAAGGAAAATCAACTTGAACATAGTTTGGATTGATTATAAAAAGGCATTTAACTCCCTGCCACATGACTGGATAATCAAATGCCTAGAACTAACAAGAATCAGTAGAAAAATCAGAACCTTTGTGCAAAGATCAATGCACAATGGAAGGCACAGTTGCTGGTGAATGGTAATTGAATGGGAGAATATAACATCAAGAGAGGAATCTTTAAGGAGATTATATCACCACTACTGTTTGTCATTGCATCTGTCAACAATACTGAAAAAGTAGACCAGGTTATACTCACATCCTGTAAATGGATGATCGGAAGCTGAATTGAAAAATACCATGTGAAATAGAATCACTGTTTTCAGCACTGTCTATATATACATTCAAGACATTGCAATGGAGTTTGGACAGGACAAATGTGCCATCCTTACCTTCAGGAGGGGATAGCATGTAGACTTATATATTGCTTCATCATAAGCCCTCTCTAAGCAGTTTGTAAGAGACAAAATCTGGGTCAGATAAGTAGTAAAACATCAAGAGTTTGGATGAAGAAGATCACCACAAATATCTAGACAATCTTCAGGCTAACAACATCAAACACATTGAAGTCAAGAAGTTAGTAGTGAATATATCAGAAGAGTGAAGATCTTAAAGTCCAAATTCAGTGACAGTAATGCAAATAAATTATGCTCCTCATCCACAGAGTTGGAATCTATTGATAGATTCTAATTTTCAAAAAGCATAGATAGGTGTGAAATATGCATGTACACCTGATAGTTGAATAAGAAAAAAGTGAGATCCTTATTAATCCTTCAAGCTGAACAACATGCATATTGTCAAAACTAAATGTCTCAAATAATTCTGTGTAACTTTAAATGAACTTCATTTAAAAAAAGCTAAAAATGTTCCCAAACCAAAAGCACTCTTCTTCCATTACAGGCATTATTCTTCTCTTTTCCTGCCGGCTCTGCTGTTTGCTGAGTGCTTTCACCACTGTTTTAAATTGAAGTTATATAAGACATTCAGGTTTTTATGCTGCAATCTTATGCTCTGCAACCCATCTCATTTAGATTCATTTTTACCCTCCCTCAACCCTGCTAACTGCATTTCCTCCACAAAAGAGTTCATTTTTGTCCTATTCTATATTAGGTGGATGAGTAATTGGAAAGGGTTGCATCTTTTAATGCAGACTGTGGGATGAATTTGAGAGCCTAATTCTGCAAGATGCTAACAGTATAAAGGTTTTAGCAGGATTTCTGACATCAAATAAAGCAAATGTTAGATTGAAAGTTTCAAATGTACAGCCATGTGGCTTTGTATGCATTATTTTAGAAAAGATATTTTGACCCTTCTTTATTTTGTTTCTGACTCGTCATATTGTATGTTATTGTTGTTACACTGTTAGTTTTATAGTTGGACAATGAAGTGAGAAGGCCACAAGCTCCACTTCTTATGATCAGTACCAAAGGCATAATTATTATTAAACTGGAGAGCAACAACAGTATATGTTGTAAAGACTAGCATAAATAATAAAATGGCCAACTCCTAGGGTGGAAGACAACAAAAATGATTTGGCTCTGAAGTGACATGGGAAGACAATGGAAAAAGATATACAAATGCAAAGACTGTTGAATTCTTTTACGTCAAAATATGGGTATTTCACAAAGGATAGTCTAATTTTGGACATCTGGATCTTGCTGGCAACTATTGCTCTTGGTTGGAGTAGTTTAAAAAATATAGTATGCATTAAGAAAGATGTGTGAAAATATGTTTGAAGTAAGTATAATTTAATTTAATTTATTCAATTTAGGGGCTGCCCAACTCTAAAAAACTTTGGGAAGCTAATAATGGAACAACAATAATATACAATATGATAAGTCAGAAACAAAATAAATAAAGAAGTAAAAAAGAACAAAAAAACAAGATGGCAGTCCAGCAAACATACACAGAACATATCTCTCAGGGGCTCCATCCACCCTAGCCCAGGGATCTGAGGGAACAACCAGGAACCTGATGCTTTCCAGAATATCATCAGGTTGAGAGTTAGTGGATTATAGAACTTCATTCTAGAAGGCCAGTGTCACAATAAACACTCTTCTTGGGTGTTGAAAGATGGGACCCAGAGCACTCTAGACTTGGCAGGCTGCCCACTGAGTCAGATACCATGGGACATAGGCAGTCTCCCAAATAGGCCCAAGCCATGTAAAGCTTCATAGGTTTGGGACCAGTGTCCCAAATGTGCTTTTTCACAAGGCAAGTGGGCTTTCTTGTTTTTATTTGAAGATATTTCACTTCTCATCCAAGAAGATTCTTCAGCTCTGACTTGGATGAGAAGAGAAACATCTTCAAAGAAAAACAACAAAGTACAGTTGCCTCATGAAAAAGCACCTTTGGGATAACTATGACCTGGATGACTGAGAATCTCCATAGATGTTATAACCAGTGACTTGAAACATGCCCAGAACAAAATGGCCACCATTGCAGCTCATGAAGAAAGGTTCACATACGCATACTAAGGCACACCCATTACTACCCATGCCACTGGATTTTGGAACAGTTGCTTCCAATAGCCCCATATACAACACATGCAGTAGTCAAACTGTGAAATGATTAGAATATGAGTATCTATCTGAAGGGCTTCTCAGTCTAGGAAAGGGTGGAACTAGTAAACAAGAGGAAGCTGTGCAAGGACCTTCTTCGCCAGAGCCACAACTTGTGCATCACCCTTGAAAGGAGAAGTACATTTCCATCCAAGCTGAAGTTGAAATATCCCCAGCTCTAGTCCTAATATCTGCAGCCACCTGGTTTTGGTAGGATTGGACTCAAGACAGTTCATCCCCACTCAAGTCCACACAACCTACAGACATTGGATCAAAACTTCAATAGCCTGGAGTCTAAATACAGAATAGATAACAACAGCATACTGAACCCCAAACCAGTGATAACTTGCATAGTGGTTCATGTACATATTAAATAGGAGGGGGAAAGCATGGCACTCTTCACAAAGAAGAAGCATATGGATTGATCTCTCCCTCTTAATAATGATTGGAACCAGTCCTGAAGGAAGACAACTGTAAAACAGTGCTGCCAATCTCCAACATTCAGAATTGGTCCAGAGGATACCTTGATCAACCAAACCAAAAGTCACTCAGAGATCAAGGAGCATAAGAATAACCTCTTATCCCAACACCATCACTATTCATTAATAAGCATGACCAAAGTTGTTGCCGTACTGAATATTGGACTGAAATGTGACTGAAATAATCTGTTTCTTCCAGGATTCTCTGTAGCTGCAATCCAATAGTTGTCTAAAATCATTGGGTCCAAGGATGGCTCTTGAAAAGGGGACATACTACCACCAGCATCCCAGCTTTCTTTCTTAAAAAAAATGGAATAAGGAAATGTCCTTTTTAAAAATGGAATAGTTTGATAGAAAAACTGTATTGCAAAAATGCATAGAAAAATATAATATTTGTGAGAGGGCACTTATAGATTTTAATGGAAAATATGATTCCCTGTAAAAGTATCCAAACACTACAGAACACCTGCAGCACTGACATGGACCACATTCTTGTATTATGGTTTTGTTTTTGTTTTTTTGTAATTTGCCATTCTGTGTAAATAAATTTTATCATCAAAAACTTGTTACATCTAATTTCTTGGGACTATGTGGATTATGACTACATTCAGGAAATTGTGTCAAGCAAGCAAACTGTTTAAGTTTCTACAAAAGTCCTCATAGAATAATAAATATATAGAGATACATCCAAAGTGCAGACTTACCTTTTACCAAGGTATGTTTATCTGTGGGTGATGAACGAGCAAGGACACGAAGTTTTGGCCATATCTTATCAATGCGTTCCTGCTCTATCTGAAAATAGTAAAAAGAGTAACAAAAAGAATCCATTTGTCAGTCTTCAATGCATTTTAGTGCCATTTTTTTAAAAAAATATCACTTTTAAGGATGAAAAGAAATATTCCAATCCTCAATCAAATTAATATTGTTGTCTGAATAATATTGTTGTACTATTTTTTTAATATTGTGCTGCTTTCAACAACTTGTTCTAAATATTCCTGATGAATACCAGATTATTTTTTGTGCAGTTTCTTTATCAGTTTTTTTATAACTGAAATAGGAATTTTCTAAACTCACAAAAACACTTGTGATTAAATGTAGAATAGATTTCTGTCATATCTTAAAAAATAATCCTCATTTTAAGGCTGCAAATTTCTACAATTAAAAATAAGCATCACTTTATAAGTGGGATAAGTCTTATAATAAAAAAATTTATGGAGGGAGGGAGGAACGGAAGAGCGGGAGAGCAGAAGGCTGACCTGTATTGTGAACATTTTATAGTTATGATTATATAAAAAGAATATTAATAAAAATGCTTTTCAGCTTGAATGAACACAAAAAGAATAACTGGAATTTTCAAGTTTTCTGTGTTATTTCAATCTTCCTGGTGGTAAACTGTGGATTAAATAGTAGTAGTAGTAGTAGTAGTAGTAGTAGTAGTAGTAGTAGTAGTAGTAGTAGTAGTAAAGTTGGAAGTGACCTTGGAGGTCATGTAGTCCAACCCCCTGCTCAGGCAGGAAACTCTATACCATTTTGGACAAATGGCTGTCCAGTCTCTTCTTAAAAACTTCCAGTGTTGGAGCATTCACCGCTTCTGGAGGCAGGTTGTTCCACTGGTTAATTGTTCTAACTGTCAGGAAATTTCTCCTTAGTTCTAGGTTGCTTCTCTTCTTGATCAGTTTCCATCCACTGCTTCTTGTCCTGCTTTCAGGTGCCTTGGAGAATAACTTGACTCCCTCTTCTTTGGGAGAATAGCTCAAGGTTGAACTGTGCTTGGTGCTCTCTGAACTTGGTTGTTTTTCTGCAGATGTTTAATTACGATGGTAGAGGACAGGAAGATTTGGAGGAATGTTGTCCATGGGGTTGCGATGGGTCGGACATGACTTCGCAGTTAACAACAAAAGATAGCATCATCAGTGTAAGGGACCTAGCTGGGTTTGCACTAATGGTATTACCTAGTTGTGTAATAAAACATTTTCAAGCAAAAAAAAAAAAAAAAAAAAAAAAAAACCAAGCTCAAAGAGCAACTTCACATTACATAATCTCTTTAAAAAGGATTGCAAATTATGCTTCAATCCTGCTTTTGAGGAATGGTGAAAACTACTGTTTATCAATTCAGATGTTGTTTCCATGGAAGTGCAAGTCACTTATTAAAAGGAACAGGGAACACATAAAACAGGAGTGGAGCTTTTTGAAACAGTACCACATTTTGATGCACAAATGAGCAGCAAGGAAAATTGAAATGTATGCATGGGTTTGAATTACTCTTGACAATTTCTGTCAGCATTTAATATTATAGTATTGCCATTTTTGGATTACTGTATATCTGTTGCACAGAAAACTAAAAAAAACAAAAACAAATGAGGGCAGCACATTAAAAACGAACAATTGCTTTATCTTTCCAGGTCTTTAACAATTGGGCACAATATATTATATCTCTCTGCACACCACTTACATCTCCCTTCTCATTCCGAATCCTTCGATTAAAATCCTTTCCTTCAATACAGAGGAAATCTTCACCAGGGTGAATAATTCCACATTTTATGGCAATGGCACGAGCTGTATTGATGTTATCTCCTGTAACCATGCGGACTGTAATTCCAGCTCGCTGGCACTTTCTTATGGCTTCTGGGACCTAATCAAACAGTGAGATAGAATGGAAGATGGAACAGAAAAGCAGTATATAGCATAATAAAAACTCATCGGAACTGTATTTTGGAATGAAATATTTTCAAATATTAAAAATTGCATCATTATTAAAATAAAACAAGAGAGACATCATGGGCTTTTGGAGTTGTAAGAATATACAGTCCCTAAGATATGACAAAGAGATATTCTGAACAGTTTGCAGAATGCTATGTACTCTAATTACCAGTTTATAGACTTTTTTCCCCTTATGTCCTTAGAAACAATTTGATTGCTAATAAGGAATTGATATTTTACTTTTGAAAGGAGATGAAAATCCTAATAAGAGTCTGCTCATAATTCAACATAGAATTTTAAAAGAATTTAATTTGAAAATAAAATACGGGAAGCATAAGAAATCTTAATACTAAAAAGAAGATGAGTGTTAAGTAAGCAAATATCAACACAGTGGCACAAATTTGTTCTGCTATTTCTTTAACATAAAATAATAATATGCTCCAATCGATTTACCTGAAAAGCACATACCATTTGTGGAAGTGGAAAAGAACTGCTAGTGAAGGATCACATTTCTCATAAACCACAACTGTGCACTGCCATGGTGATAAGCCTGTTTGAATCAACTAGTAGGATGTTAACATTTGTACAGAGCAGGAGTGGTCTGCTCTTGATCTCCAAGTTTTAAGTTTCTTTTCTTTTTATATTTCTTCCACCCCTCCCTTTTATTATGTGTTATAATGTTGTTTCCATATACTAACGTTTCTATAAAATGTTTAAAAATGATTAACAGTCTACAGTTTAATGTAGCGGTATTACAGGCATAAAATTATTTAGCTTTTTCATCGAAATTGAATGTAACACTGAAGAACCACTACAACCCACAGCAAAATAAGTGTTTCATATTTTCAAGAGATTAAGGGTTGCAGCGGGCATAGCAAGGAGGGAAGAGCTAGGATTATGGGATTTTTTTATATAGCATTAATCTCATATAAGGTTCACATTACAGTTTTTGCATACTCCTTGCTTTATAATAGTTAAAAAATAATTGCCATGCTGTGATGAATACAAATAAAGTCTCCTCAAGTCAAGAAGATCTTCTGGCAATTTGTTAAGAACACTATGGAATGGGTTTTCTTAGTTTTCCTCTAGGACAGGGGTCCCTAACCCCCGGTCCATGGACCAGTACTGGGCTTCACCATGCCAGTAACCAGGCCGCACAAACAAGCAAAGCCCCATCCACAAGATGCAGGCAGCACATAAAACCATGCACCCTTCGGTCTGCGGAAAAACCTATCTCCACGGAACCAGTCCCTGGTGTCCAAAGGGTTGGGGATCTCTGCTCTAGGATGTTATTGTTGTTGTTTTTAGTTTGTTGGTTTGGGTTTGGTATTATCTGGTGGCTTGCCAGATAGGCCTTCTTAGCTTTCTGACACTGAGCATGAGAGGTAGTGAGAGGAGCCACAAAGAAAGTAGCTCAGAGAGCACCTGAGGCCCAGGAACAACTCTCCATCTCTATCTCAACAAGTCCAACAGAGAAATAAGGCCATGCTATGCTGTGCTGTGCTTACTATAGGATATGACTCAAACTCCAGGATTTGTTTAAAAAGTAATCCACTGTAGCAGGAGTCTTCAAACTTGGTCCTTTTATGACTTGAGGACACCAACTCCCAGAATTCCTCAGCCAGGCTGAGGAATTCTGGGAGTTGAAGTTCACAAGTCTTAAAAGGACCAAGTTTGAAGACCCCTGTACTATAGGGATGATTAAAAAACTGTTCTTTGATTTTGTAGATCAATTATCTCAATTTTTCTGTCTATTGAATTAAGCAATTCCTCCATCAGCTACAGGGCAATCAGTAAAATCTGTTTTATCTTCATGTATTTTATATCCACATTCAGAGCTCCCCATTATCACTATGTAATGACTATAATTGCCTTTTCTCTCACTACATGGTTGCCTTCCTTTCCCTCCAGGCATCCAGCTGTTGGCAGAAGTGCTAATAATTAAGCATGTCTCTTAATTCAGTTATAACTACTGATTAGTTCATAAGAAAGAGAGCAATATAGATATTACAACCTATGGTAAACCCATAAGTTAGTAAAATGTGAAATATAAAATAAATGAATAAATGAATCCTTGAACAAATCTGCAGAATAATAAACTTGGACTGATTTGATATGAGCTGCATCACAACTTTCTAACACAAATGCGAACAGGATTCTCTGACTATGCAATTTCCAACCATAGGGGAAATAGCTACTCCAGGATATGACATTTTAGAAGTGAAGAACGGCTTTCCCAGGAGACTTAATCTTTGTATCTTCAAGTTGAAGTTTTCAGGGTAAATTTCATACATTTTTTTAAATATATATTTGGAAGGAAAGTTAAGTATCCTCTTATCTGGGATTCATAAGACAGTTGAAAAAAGCACTTAAATTACCTTTAACACAAGCTGGTCCCTGGTGAAATAAATGTTAAAGTATCACTTCTGTCACAATAAAGCAATTATATGAACCATTCTAAACTAATTTGTTCTACTATATCAGGGGTAGGCAACCTTGGCTCTTTTATGACTCGTGGACTTCAACTCCCAGAATTCCTGAGCCAGCATGGGAGTTGAAATCCATGAGTCATAAAAGATCCAAGGTTGCCTACCCTATGGCCCATACTTAAAATGCTGGGAATCTCAGTGTGGACTTATACCAGAGGTATGTAAACTGCTGAAAACTTTCTCCACACCAGTAGGTCATTGTTGCTATCTCAGATTTTTTTTAAAAAAAAAGCGAATAAACTATAATTATAATAGTCTTTTCAAAAGAATACAATTGTGAAAGCAAAAAATAATAAACAAAGCTGTCCTCCATGAGTCAGTAAAATCCACCTTCCAGTTCTGTTAAATTTCTATCTCTTGCAAACAAAATGTATAAGTTTCCAGTCAGAATCACTGGATTCTGACTGGAAACAATCATTTATTCTGGTATTTTAAAGCTTGTCTTATTGTGTCTAGAAATAGAGTGGGGCTGCTGCTAGCTTCCTCCCTGAACAGTTCTCTTTACTTGCACATTACGGAAGAAAGTACCGTAGTGAATAACAATGTAGGACTGTCACATACATCCCCAGTCATTTCATAAGCTGCTTCACCCCACCCAAACTTTCAAACCAAATGATGAAAGGACGTTTCTATCAAAATGAATAAGAATGATTGAAATCAATGCTAGTTAACTAGTTAAGTGTCACAGAGTATGCCTGATTCTGGGGCATTCTATAATTGAAAGCTTGCCATTTCAACCTGTAAAGGCTCTCCAGTAATTTCTTTGATTGCATCTATTCATTCTAGTTCTACTTTGTTCTTTTCATTGCATGCTTGCCAAAATTATGTGAGCTTCTGCTTGCTGCACATCCCCTCAAGGGAGCAATTAGTCTTTCTGTGGTCAAGGAATGACTGATTCTTCTTGCAATCCTTGGTACTTTTCATGGTCACGGTTCAGAAGCATCTATATTTCTCTTTCACTTTTTTTGTGTTTAGCTTTTACAGACTTCCAGAAGTCTACTGCTTTAACTATTCTGATCTTTGTTGTTTTTGAAAAGCCCTTCAGCTTCACAATCCAGTCTAGGTCTACTATTGTTTTCCTCTCTAGAATTAATTTCCAGCACCCTGTCCATCTTTATTCTGGAGCCCAAGAAAACAAATGTTTCTACTGTCTTCCTTTCATCAACCACAAATTCACTAAGCATGCAGTATTAGTTCCATTTCTGATAGTCAAATGAGAATTCTAAAGGTGTTCAGATATTCAGTTGTACATATTGTTTTTGTATTGCATTATGTTTGGAAATATTGAAAAGTTGACTTTAAAAAAAAAAAACACCTGATGTTTTTATTTTTTTTACTACACACAGGGTGAAAAGACCCTCTCAGCTTCTTGGGTTTTTTGTTTTGTTTTAAAATATTTTTACCTCTGCTCTTACAGGATCTTCTATGCCAACCACACAAATGCAGGTAAGATCAGTTAAAATATCATTTTCATTGTCCCAATCTGGTTCAGGATCGTTGGGAAAGTCTCGAAAACCAACACAGATGGTTCTCAATCCATCACAGGCCATGGGCTCAATCACTTTCTTAACCATCTCATCTCTATCACGAGGTCTAAAAATGCGAGCCTCACCTGCAGCATTAAGAATCTTAGAACATCTGGAAAAAAAGGAAAACAAATGACTGGATCACAACTGCAAACAACTGAGAGGGGTGGGTTAGATTATGGCATTTAGGATAAAATTTAAAAACTAATATAGCAGCGGCAGCTTGGATCATACTTTCCCGAATTAATGAGTGGTGAAATTCCAATTAACAAAATAAAGTTTTTCTAAAGAAAGAGATGTGTCAAAAGATCTCTTTACCACTTTCCTTTATGCATTAGTTCAAATCCTGCTCAAAGCAAGTACTTATAATAAAGAAATAGAGATTGGTGACACTTGATACATATTTTGCTCAGAACTGTCCAGTAAATGATGATACACTAAAAAAAGAAATGTATTGCAAATTTTACATAAAAGAATGTCTCATTCTTTTTATGGAGATTTGAAGATTCAGTGGGCACACATCAATCTGACTATCTGTGGCAGTGGTATATATTCACTTCCATACAGAATTAGTGAAAAAGGGTTTCAAAACAAATACCGTGCACATACTTCTTTAGGACAATTTCAGAAGCCCCTTTGCTATACATTCGGAAGCTGTCATCTGGCATTTTAACGACAGTGCTCATTGACTTTCTCACAGAGTTAAATGTGTAAACTTTGTAGAGTTTCTCTTCAGGCATTTTAATCCGAGCAGGCTGATAATCATGCTTTAGATCCAAAAGAAATCCAAGCAATCCACATTCTGTCTTGTTGCCAACCTGACGAGGTAGACCACCTTCCTTTTCTGGTGGCTAAGGAGAGAAAAAGAATTGGACTTCAGGGTTTGTCATTTAGCATCCGCACCTGATCTCATCTGTGATGACTGTAGTTCTTCCCTATTATTATCATTTTTAGTTAGCCTTCAACTTATAACCAGAATTGGGACTTCAACTTATAACCAGAATTGGGACTGTCATTAAGTGAATCGTGCAGTTGTTAAGCGAACCAGGTTCCCCTTCCCTATTGCGTGTGGAAATCCCCCTGGAAAAGTTGTAAATGATAAGCATATGATTCCAGGATGCTGCAACTGTGGTAAATACACGCCAGTTGCCAAGCATCACAATTTTGATCATGGGACCATGGGGACACTGAGACAGATGTAAGTGCAAGAGATTTGTTTAAGAGTGTTTCTATTCCACATTGCTCTCAGACTCTTTCACTTTTCTAAAGTGAAACCAAGCAGAAAAAGTCACTATATTGTTTGATTGTTTTCCATATCATAACAATAAAAATCTTAGATGTAAACTACATATAATTAAGGTAACTTTTTATTTGGAATTTAGAGTAAATAGTCTGTTCATTGCATTAAAAAACAAAACAAAACTATTCATTTAAAATATTTCTATTCTACCCTTTGTTCCAACATAAGAACTTTAAAGTAGAATTTTTTAAAAAATGATTCCAAAGTATTACTTTAAAGCTAGCTTGAAAACGTATATAACTGCAATAGAGCTTAAAATTTGCTTTGCTGCAAAGCAATGATTAATATTTATGAACAAAAAGAAAACAATTGTTCTGTAGTTCATCTGAACATTAGATTTAGACTGGGTGGTCTCAGAGCAAATCCTGTCATAGCTATGTATAGTGATACTGAGTAATTTGAAGTAAGGTAGTGTCAGTCATTCACAATTTTCAATCTGCAAAGTGGATGTAATAATGACATGAAAGCATTTTGACCATCAACAAGCTTAATCTAAATTAAGCTCTCCAGATTTGTCAGATTTCAACTGCCAAAATTAATGTACCGTATATGCTGGCGTATTAGGCAACCCAGCATATAAGACGACCCCCGTCTTTATAGCCGGGCCGCATTCCTAGAACGTCATCTTATACGCCGGAAACTACCAGTATTTCCGGCGTATAAGACAACTCGGCATATAAGACGACCCCCGTCTTTGGCGCCGATTTCAGCGCTCGCGGAAGTCGTCTTATACGCCGGCATTTACGGTAGTATAATGTTTAGACTATGAGTTGGGAGACCCAGTTTTAATGGCTCTTGCCAGGAAATAGAAGAAGGGAGCATATTACTTGGAACTCCTGAGGGAAAAAAAATCAAACATAAGTCTAACATATAAATAAAATAAAAATAAATAGTTCCCAGCCTAGGAAAGCATTGTAGAAGTTGAAGTCATTTGAAGAGTATCATGTGGAGGAATACTGCTATGTAAAATCATAGTATGATTTTCTTGCTTTCAAGAATGTAAGAAGTACTTGAGAAATTTTTGTAATCAATACAGTTATTGTAAAATGTTTAGTCTTCTGGACTGATTGTCAGTTCTATCAGCCTAAGGTAAACTAAAAGTCTTCTAATAACTGAAAGTACTACAAAAATGCAATATTAAGATGTTTCTTTCCGGGGGGGGGGGGAGAAAGGCTTGGATAGGCTGGATACATTTGATCAGATGCATGACTTAGGAGCTTACTTCCAGGTGAATTGTACACATTCTGAATTACAAGACATACTGAGAAATGTAGCTCAAGATATGACAGTTCAACCTTTCTGTTTCACTTTCATTAATGATCAAGGTAACATCCTTTAAAGAATGTGCAAAAGATCTGAAGGTATACTTCACTTTTGCCTGACTTCTGGAAACTCTCTTGGTGGTTCCAATATCCAGGAGAACCTTAAGTACATACACTTCTTCGTACCCTCTCCTACCAACCCAAGCCAATCTCAGTGAGAGTCCCCAATTTTTACCCACCTGAAAGAGATTTGTGGTTTAAACAAAGGACACTCCCAACGATAAGCAATCTCAATGTACATGTTTCACAGATAAACATGACATTGATAAACATGATACTAATTATACATTTAGAATGATGATAGTATATGTTGCTGTTTTTTCACTGTATCTACCTGCCAAACCGATTTCCATGCAGTAGAAATTACTGCAGTCAATCTAGAGCAGATTATTAATCAAAAGTTTTACATTCCCTTTATCCTCTTCGAACTTATAGGCCATTCACCCCTAACAGCAAATAAACGCAAACATATGAATACAAAATAGCAAGAAAACACACTCAAACACATACACCCGCCCCTATAAAAATATTGGGAATGTTAAAATAAGCAACTAATGAACCAGCAATTTTGAGCATCAGATGCAACCATGGACAAGCCTTCTTCTTGGGTTTGGTACTTATAAGAGCATCTTCAGATATTCTCAATATATAAGCAGGGTTATACAGGAGAAGGTAACAGCCTATCCATATACTGGTCTTCAGCATTTAGAACTTATTGCCATCATCTAGAATTGTACCTGACCATACATAAACCCCCTACTATCCTGCACTAATAGTACTTTACAAATATTCTTCACAGCATGTCCTCTGTAAAGAAAATGCAATAACAATCCAGAGAGAAGTCATGGGAGGACAAGTGCCTTCATAAGTCTTAAGAGGCTCTTAGACACTTTTCTTAATTTTCAAAACAAATGATTAAAGTAATTAAATGATAATGAAAACAATTATTATTTTGGTCTCTGGACATTACAAGACAATGTGGCTAATTTTTGGTTTACTTGCTTAGTGATTTATGTTTATAAGGCTCAGTCTGCCATTCTGTATCCTACTCATGACAGAAAACTGTTTTGCAAAATGTTTAATAATTCAGGTCTATTCATTTTATAATATGCTTTCTCCAGCATGATTGGATGGAGAACCCACGGATGGGTTGTCTTAATCTATCTGCTCCAATTAGACTAAGTCTGAAATTTAGTACTGCCCCCTCTGTGCCAACTGCACCCCAGTTTTAGACTTAGTCTCTTTGCTCTAAGACGCGTTTTTTCTTTGCTCCTGGAGCAGAAGACTTTGTATTTCTTTAGCTTAGTTCCAATCCTCATTAATTGTGATTTGATAATATTAATACAGGATTATCTAGTGATCAAATCCACCCTCAGCCTACAGCTTGGCTAGGCTGACAGGCTGGGCATCTACAGACTCTTCCCTTCAAGGGAACCCCTCTCTTTTCGGAGAACTCTCCTTAAGGACAACTCTTTTTGGTTTTTTTTATTTTCACCTGAGACAAGGCAAGCCCCTACAGGGGGCCGTTCCTCAGCTTCGGAAGCTCCGAAATGACAGCTGCCGCCCCGAGGATTCCCCTGCTGCCAGCTGATTGTCGGAGGGCCCGATCCTCATTCGCCGACTTCCCGCGGCTCCGGAGGCAAGGGTAAGCCTTGCCGATCGACTGGGGGGCTCCGCAAGCGGCGATGAAGCTTGCCAGGCCTGGAGGGAGCCTTTCTAGGTCCCTCGGCCTCAGAAGAACTTAATTTCTGAGGCCTGGAGGCCTTATTGGCCTCGGCCAGCCTCAGCGCCTCCCAGCTGACCATCCAAACACCCTCCGCTGCGCTAGGAGCCCAGGCGATTCCCTGGAATGAGGGCTCATCGCAGCTTAGGCCTCAGGCCTCACAGGTCTTCTTTCCAATGGCCATTTTTGGCGCGCAGAGCTTGCGGCCACCATTTTGAATTACCTCACGGCTACCATTTTGAGAATCTCAGAGGCCCAGACTGCCTGCAGGAACATTCCAGAAGGCAGTTTCTCACAATCAGAGGCAGAGGCCTCTGAATCTAAGGAACCTTGACAAGACTGATTGGATTGGGGAGGGCAAGCTTGTTCCGGAAGGATGCACTGCCTACCAACCTCCCATTGCCCACCTCCCTCACTGGGCCGGATCATCTCTGCTGGGCTCCCTTAGTAAGTTTACGACGCAGAGGGGGGGACGTTTTTGCTGAGGTTGAGCCCAAAGCAGATTCATCATGGCAGAGAAGTCTACCAATGGGCCGGCCAAGAGGAAAACTACTGAGGCAAGTGGAAAGAATAATTCCAAGCGAGCCAAGTCAAGCAGGGAAACCACTAATCCACAGTTGAGGGAAGAGAACTCCCACAGACTGAGGGCAACCTCCCCAGGTCAGACAGGCACAACGGGAAAGTCCATTTTTGAACCCCTCTCCTCACATTGTGCCTCAGCCCCAGGGGCCTGGTCTCCCCCCAGGGGAATTTTCCAACCAGAATCAGCCACAAGAGCGGCTCCAGGGACAGGCTTGACTAGCCAGGATACCCCTAATTTGGGCCCACAGGCCACATTCACCCCCACTGCAGCAGGGCTTCGCCCCCCTGAGAACCAGACTCTAAATCCAGACTACCTTCAGTCCATGATAGCCCAGGCTGTGGCTCAATTCATGGCTTCCAATGCCCAACAGCCACCCCCACAATCCATGTATCATTCCCAATCTCCAGATATCATGGATGAACCTTCATCAGATCTAGAATCAACAGGCGCTGAACCATCGGGCCTGATTACGTCAGAGGGCGAAGGTATCACTTCATCTGACCTCACCCCTCCTGTTGGTCTCTTCGACCATTCACTTTTTAATTCCCTGCTAATCAAGGCCTGCACAACTGCAAACCTCCCTCAAGAGCAGGAGACCCCACCTACAACATCCAAGGGTCCCCACGCCATATATACTGAGCCCTCAGTCTCTCAGAACCATATCCCCTGCCCTCCCCTTTTTCTCAATATGGTTCAAAAACAATGGGAGAATTTAGGATCCCTCTCAAGTCCTGGTGCCGTAGAGAAGACATTATTCAATGTTGCCCCTTCTCTGACCTCCCTATTGGAGATTCCTGAGATTGATGAGCCATTGAACTCATTGTTTCCCAATGCTAGCATTCCTGGGAACATAAATGAGGCACTTAGGGCGGAGGATAAGAAGATTGAGTCCGCATTACGTAGGTCCCATCTAGCATCAGCCT